GGTGAGATTTGAACCGCTGAACTGCTGATCTAGCAGTAGCCTGCAGTGCTGCATTTAACCACTGCACCACCTCGGCTCAGTGGTTAAATGCAGGTTAAATGTGGTTTAATGTGATTTAAACCCGTATTTCCTAACCTTGGCAACTTTAAGATGCCTTTTCAAAAACTTCCCTACAGAATAGCAGGCTGTAAATGTTCAAAGAGAAGTAAAGCTTTCCAATTGCTGTGAGGCGACTAGGGCTGAGAGAACCTGGCAAGGTCATCCCGTGGACTTTGTGGTCCTGCTGGCTTAGATTTATGCAGTTCCATCCTCCCTGGAGAAAAGCCTCTCTCTGTGGATTGAAATGATGTCCAATAGCAGAAATTCCTGGTGTGTTTTAGCCTCTTCTTCCTCCTCCCTCAATTAGGGATCAGGCCATGAGCAGCTGTACGTGAAAGGAATGCCCATATGCATTCCCCCAGCTTATCTGAGGAACCATCTTACCTCAATGGGACTGGCCTGCCCCACCCAGGATGGCAGAGGAGGCATGCTATGGACCCCTTAGGTCAGGGATGGCGAACCTTTTTGTAAAGGCTTGCCAAAATTGTGTGCGTACGTGCTATTGCGCCCGCACGCGTGGCCACAACCACAAGTCAATGCACCACGCCCACCTGTACATGCGTGCGCGACCCCTGCCCTGACCCCATGGAGGGGACATTTTTGCCTTCCCCAGGCTCCGGAGACTTTCTTGAAGGCCGGGGAGGGCAAAAACAGCCTCCCTTGGCCCTCTGGAAGGCCAAAAATCAGCTGGCCGGTGTGCGCATGCGCACCGGAGCTGACGGATGTCGTGCCGGCAAATATGGCCTCCATGTGCCACCTGTGGCATGCGTGCCATAGGTTCGCCATCACAGCCAATTCCACAAGGAATTCCGGCTGGCAGGGTCTAGGACAGTGATGGTTAATCTTTTCGGCACGGAGTGCTGAAACTGGAGCATGCGCACGCGCACTGGAACCCAGAACAGAGCAGCTGTCCGGTGTGCAAACGTGTGATGGAACTTGGAAGAGCAGCTGGCGACGATGTCTGTGCTCACAGAGAGGGCTCTGCGTGTGCCATAGGTTCGCCATCACAGACTTGGGGCCAATCACCAGGAGACTGTGAGTTCTAGTCCCACCTTAGGCATGGAATCCAACTAGGTGATTTTAAGCCAGTCGCTCTCTCTGTCTCTCAGCCCAACAGACCTCCCAGGATTGTTCTTGTGGTGCAAATAAGAGGAGGGATGCGCATTTGTTGCCTTGAGTTATTTGTAAAAATAAAAAGGGACACAAATAAGTAAAACAAAAATAAATAAATTACAGGTAGTCCTCAACTTACAACAGTCCATTTCGAAAGTTACAACAGCCCTGAAAAAAAGTGTGTTATGACCGTTTTTCACACTTATGACTGTTGCAGTATCCCCAACAGTCACAAAATTCGGATGCTTGGCAATTGACTCATATTTATGACGGTTGCAGTGTCCCAGGGTCATGTGATCCTTTCGTGACTTTCTTACAAGCAAAGTCAATGGGGAAGGCAGATTCCCTTCACAACCATGTTACTAACTTAACAGCTGCAGTGATTCGCTTAACAACTGTGGCAAGAAAGGTCATAAAATGGGACAAAATTCACTTACCATATTTTTCGGAATATGGGACGCATCTTTTTCCGCTCAAAAAAGAGGCTGAAAATCTGGGTCCGTCTTATACACTGAATACAGCATTTTTTTTGCCTCCTGAAACCCCGCCCCCTTCACAAAAATGGCCATGCATAGCTTTTAGGAGGCTTTCAGAAAGCTCCTGGGGCAGAAATGAGTGAAAAACGGACCGATTTTTGCTCATTTTTGCCCCCACCCACCAGGAGCACTCTACAAGCCTCCTAAAGGCTATCCATGCCCTTTTTTTTTTTTTTTTTTTGAGGAAAAAAACCGGGCCCGTTTTCGCAAAAAACGCTGTTTTTGGGAGGTTTGCAGAGTGCAAAAACTTTTTTTTTTTTTAAATTGCCTCTTCAAAACCCGGGTGCATCTTATACTCCAAAAAATACGGTAGCAGATGTTTCACTTAGGAACAAATAATTTGGGCTCCATTGTAGTCCTAACTCAAGGATCACCTGTAGCTGGTGCTGCTGTTTCTTAGAAAGAGATCTGTGCAGAACATCAAGCTTTCTATACCTTTTCCTCTGATTTCTTTACAGGTGATTTTTTTCCCCCCTTGACCTGGAAGCAGATGTCTGTAGGAAGAAGTGAGGACTGGATCATTTTCACACCCCTGCTGGGTGTCCACGCCAGAAACTGCAGTCTTGTTGAAATACTGACATGGCAATGGAAATTCAGTGTGCTCGAAGGAACTTTTATTTCCCTCCACCAGAAAGGAAAAAGCAACAACTTTATCCAAAACACAAAACACAAAACACCCAACAGCAAAGATTGCCTTAACTGTATATTCTGGAACTCTTAATGCATATCCTTCAGTGGGAGGTGGGGGGAGACTATAAGTGGCTTGTGTTCACAAAAGGCCAGCAGAAGAAATTGTGCCTATGCGTTTGTTTCTTTTTTTTTCTTTTTTTTTTTAAAAAGAACATTAGTTACAATAATTTTTTAAATGTAGAACAAACATAGTAATGCCTTTTTTTTTTGTTTTTTAAAGCTTCTTTTGCATCTCTGTTTTGTAAGCAACAACAAAAAAAATGTAAAAAGAGAGAGAGAGAGAAAGAGAGAAAAAGACTTGATGATTCCCCATGCCTTTTTCTGCTGCTGTTTCTATAGTTAATGTTGCATATTATTTTTTAAATAAGATCAACCAGAAATATTAAAAGTTTGTATTAAGAGACTGGATGTTTTTTAAAAAGCCTTAAACCCTTCCACCCCCCCCCCCCCCAACCCACTTCCCCAATGCAAACTCTGCTTAGGGTTCAAATTGCATCACCACAATGAAAATCTTAGCCCAAGGTCTTTTTTTTTTTTAAGGAGGAAAGATGGTGAC